CCTTCTCCTACTCCGCTCCTGTTTCCTGGAATATCTTGTAAAAAGATCTGAAGCTCTCGACCTTTGACCTCTCTAAGTGGCTTCAAACATCTGATAAGTTCCTGAGAACAACCAGCGCAGACATGTTCCAGTTGTTAGTTTTTTACCTCGTTTTATAAAGTAGCTTGATTTGATTTTGTTTTATATCATTTCATGGCTGTTTATTGTTGCGTGCACCTCATCTGTGGTTTGATTAAATTAGGTCTCTCTTGTAAACGAGTCCTCGTGACTCAATGAGACTAACCAGAATAAATAAAGGTTGAATGAAAATAAATCTCTGAACCTGAAAGATGAGGGCTGATGCTCGTTGACCGTCTTGTCTGTTGTGTTTGGAATAAGTTTTAAAGACGAATCATGGGTGATGGTGCACAGACTTTCAGTGAGTCTTTCTCCAGAGGGGACCTTGATTATTAATCATCTGAGACACCGTTTGTTGCCCGTGATGACTACCAGGTGGGCTTTAGACCAAACTAAGAGCTGGATTTCCATTTAGACAGCTTGCTTTTGTCAGACAGCGCATTCTTTTAATTATAAAGCTTCCTCTTGCCTTCTTCCACCAGACAAGTGTTGAAAATACATTGTCTCGGGGCTTTTCACAACAGAATAAGGCCTCCCGTAGCTGGCAACATAATTACACAGCTGTAGTAATTACACACTAAAGTGCCGCAGGGATCGTCTCTTTGATTCTTGGTCTAAATTGGGGTCTTCGTCACACCTCTTATCTGCAACAGATTTCTTTTGGTGGGTTCAAATGAGTTGGTCGCTCATTTGTCTCCAATTCTTTATCTTGTAATCAAGAAGAAAAGGATCATGTGGCTTAAATATGGTGTGAAGTTTTTATCTGAGCTTCCCGTGGTATCGACTCCTGCTCTTGTTCTTATCTTCATTGTTCCAGTTTCGATTATTTCTCTTCTCCACGGGGGTCTTGGCCACTAAAGTGGGAACAGCAGGTGTGTAGTTTTCTCACCTGGACATGGGGTGATGTTGCACTCCTGATACTCCTGTGCCGGGCCCAGGCAGGTCTGGCCTCCGTACCGGGGCTCGGGGTTACTGCAGGTCCTCTTCCTGCTCCGGATTCCTCGGCTACAGTCCCTGCTGCACTGGGACCAGGACCCCCAGGCCGACCAGCCGCCGTTCACCGTGTGGCCCGAGATCCTCCCCAGACGAAGCGCCTCGCCTGTTGGGTAACGAGGGAGAAGACTTGTGAGAACTCGTCTCATGTCGGCTGCGCTTCAGCCTCGAGGAAACTTTCTCTAAATAAAAAGAAAAGCTGTGGTATTATATTAAAAACACCAAACAATATCTGTTCGTTATTCGTGGCAGCAACGTGCACTTTTACTCTGAGGAGTCATAAAATGTCAATATGAGCTCGTAATAACAGTCGAGGCAGGATTTATACCTGAAGAGCTGAAAACACAACTTTTGGTTTGTTTACTGAAAAACAAATGCAGTTGTATCGGATGAAACGTGATCGCTTTGCACAATAAATCAAAATAAAAATGTACCAGATAAACAGTGATTACTTCTAATGAAAGTACATTTAACTTGCGCTGCTAGCATGGTTTAAAGATGCTGCGAATCCGTCGTTCGGTTTACGAACCTCATGAGTTGATTGGTTTTCTTGACAATGTGCAGGAAAAGAATCAGAAAAACTCAAGAGGAACCCTTTTCTGAGCAGCCAGCTTCACGTCTGCTTTTACAATAAATAAACAAACAAACAAATAAATAAATAAATGAGTGCCATCTTTAGCTTGCATCCCTGAGACGTCAGCTGTCGTATTTGTGAAGCTCGTGACAAACTTTGGCTTTGACCGTAACAAAGTGCTGAATACAGTTCCTGAGCAATAAAACCAGTCGGACTGCTCTGCATCGTCTCCAGATTATTCTTTTTATATTTTATCAACTTGAAGGTGAGTGGACTCATCGTGGCCTCAGTAGAAGCTTCAGCCTCATGCGTGCTCATGCTCAGTAGAACATTTAATTTCTGAAGCGTGTTCTGTTAACGAGTTAACTGGTTGGCGTCTACGTGACCAGGCTGCTCTGCAGAAGTTCTGGTTAACTTTGTCTCAACTCTGTGACCCAGTGTGTGCACGATGATCTTCATAGTACTTCTTCATTAAACAAGTACTTCATTTATACAAATATTTCCTGTAGAGCGTTAATGTGTACGCAGTTCAACTGAAAGCCCATGAGCTGTTTGCAAAGATCATTTAAAACTAGGACGTGTCTATTTCCTGCAGTTCAGCAGCAGCAGCCATGACATCAGCGTTTCATGCGTTTCCTCAACTAAACAGTAACTCTGTCAAGATTTAGTCAAATTAAAACCAAGTTTCGACTATCTCAGAAAAAAACAACTCTCAGATTTAATGAAGTTTATTTTGCAGACAAGTTCCTGCCTTTTTAATTCACCCGTTCTTCTCAGATAAATGTTGTCTGTTAGTTTTAATTTTAGAAAGGATTTGTATTAATTTACCACAACGATCGATATAACGACCACTTTTAGCAGAACGGTCGACGTTAGGAAGCGGTCTGGTTTAATATTTGTAGAATATTTACTTGTCTGAACTTAATGTGAGCAACATGTTCGTGCGTTTCCTTGGAACAGAGTATTGTTGCCGTGTTGCATCTGTGCTTTCACTCCAACAAAACTTCTACAAACTTCTTCCCCTGTTTGAACCAGGACCCCGAGGATCCTTTGACCTGCACTTGTTCACCTTCTGCAACATCTTTTCTGTGCCTTCACTTCACCGTTCTGCTTCCTGTTGGAATCAAGAGTCAGCAGCAAAGTCCAGGAGGGTTCTGACCCACAGTAAACCCTGACGGTGCGTCGCTTCTACTCATGAGCCGAACCGGCCGCGGCACCGCCGCTCACAGCTGAAGCAGAGAAGATGTGAAGTTGAACTGGGTGCCACGTGCACAGATGAAAATCACTTTGTTCCTGGAGCTGAAGTTGCAGATGTGCAGTGAACCACATGAGTAATTTGTGCACTCTCCTCTGAAGCTGTCAAGTGGTGGATTCCTAATAAAAGCTGAAAACATGTTTTGTGCTCAGCTGTAGTGACGGCGCATTAATCAGCTGTTGGAGACGCACGCGCCTCGTTGAGACGCAGCACAACGAGCCGAGAGCTTCTGCTGTTTTCCAACAAAAAGACGGAGCCCATATGTCTGAGCGAGCGATAATTACCTCCGCTGACATTACCGTCACTGCCAAAGCACTTTTCTAATGATTTAGCCGTTCTCCACATATGCTGCAACATTTAGGACTTCAGGTGCACGTCTCCATCATGCACCTGCGCTTCACCCGAGACCATTTCAGAGCCGCTCAGACAGAAGGAGCGTGTGGTCCTCGCTTTGAGCCGTTCAGCCGCGCCTCACAAACATTCTCGTTCATCATCTGAATATTTTTTTTACAATCTCCTTGATTTTCATCTCTTCCTCCGTCTTTGTCATCATCATCCTCCTCCTCCTCCTCTCTGTTCCTCTCTCCGTCCTCCACGGCCTTGATGTTCTGTCGGCGGTCACCGACAGTTATCACGTCAGCGTTGTATTCTCAACGAGTTTACGCAGCGTAAACCCTCGACCTCTTCATAACTGTGCCCGACCTTGCCGGTGCACGGGTCAGCTCACCGGCGTCAGGCTGCCTCGAGCGCTGACAGGCCCGCCCAGGACCCAGGGCCCTCGCTCTCTATCGATTCTGAGCAGGCAGCTGCACGGACAGTCCTGACGGCCTCGGTGACCCCAGCTCTTCATGAAGCCATGCGGGGCTGAAGAGGCTGGTCCAACTCTCTGAACACAACGAAGTGGGTCATGATGATGAGACTCTCACAAACACAAGTACGTCGAGAAGCAAACAGACATTTAATTAAAGTGCTGCCAATGACACATCCAGTGGATTTGGCTCGCTGTGCTTTACCTCAACACTGTTCTCTACTTTGCATTTTGACTGTGCCGTTCTTCCGGTGCCAAAACAAACAGCATGCCCCCCCCCCCCCCCCCAGACACACAGTGACTGGATCTATTGATCCACACCAGAGCCACACGCAGCCGGAGAGAATGAATCCTCGCTCTTCTGACGAGCTGGTTTCACCCGAGATGAAGGGCAGAACATCCAATCGTCCCCGCAGCAGCACAAACACACCGCACATCAAATCATCCACGTGCACACGCTGCGACACCAAACTCACAGCTCAAAGAGAGGCAACAGAAAACTCCTGGACTGGTCTGTGTGCAGCAACAAGGAGAACGAGTTTCCTTGAAGAAGTGCATGTTGCCCGCCAGAGTCCGTCTGTGACGATGCAACAGACTGAGACGATCTGCAGCTCTGCTCTGAGACAACAACTGGAGAAGAAAGTCACTGGAGACTTTCACTGCCTGCTTTCATCAACAACACGACCAGTGGATCACTATGAGAGGAAATAAAACGTATCCCCCCCCCCGACCTTACCCAAGATGCTCCTCATGGAGGGACCACTCCCCTCAGTGAGGTGCATCTTGTGAAATGAGAAGTTCTGGATGTTAAGACGTTTCATGAGATCTGCCAAACATTGGTGCACCAGACCCCCCCCAAGGAGAAATTATCAGGGAAGATCCAGTTAAAGGTTTCTTAGCAGCCAAAGGCGTGACAGATCAGTGCACGTGCACAGAAATACAGCGACACACACAGTCCGGTCTAAGTTCACCCTCATCGATCACTTCATTAGCAGCATCTGTTGAATTTAAAGCCTCAGTCCAACAAAGGCCTTTAAGGCGGTGAGTGAAGGGAGCGATTTTATCCACCGCCAGGCACAAAGGCAGAGCCAGGGGGTGGCCGATGGTGGCCTTGCCCACCACAGTTCGCTCTTCAGCCACCACACCGGCCACCTCAATCGTTTGAGGAAGCTACTTTTAAGCAGTATAAAATCTAGAAAGCATAGATCCCTCAAATAATGAGGGGTGGACGATTTACATTCATATATGGTGGCGGCCATCTTGGATTATGACATGGCAACTCTCAACACTGAAGGAAGTTGGCACTTTGCTTATTTTTCAAGTTTTCCAGCTCACAAGGTTTACATGTATACATATATGGTGGCAGCCATCTTGGATTATGACGTGGCAACCATATCTTTGATAAGGACCTTTCTTACGCCGACATACATGGAAGCCGGTCCTTTTCTTATTTTCTAGTTTGTCCAGCGCACAAGACGGACGGACAGAGATGTTTCTAGTTGCGCTCGCTGCTCCTCGACGGGACAGTAAGTGCAGCGATGGGACGTTTCTGAAACGTTTGTTGTCCTGAGACTCCGGAGACGTTTAGATTGACCTGAAGAAGTTTGTCACGGTCGGTCTGTAAACTTTGAGCTTGCATGGATAAAATCTCTATTTTCATGTAGTTTTGTTTAAATTTAACACGTACAGAACTGCTGTACTTTTTATTGTTCTTTGAAAATAATTTATTGCTACTGTAAATACCATTTTTTATTATTCCTGCTAACACTATAGATGTCAAACTCTACTTTCAGTATAAAACGCAGCCAAACATTTAACACATTAAACACTTTTGTTGTTTCTATGCCGCTGTGGACTTTTACTATTTCACGACGTCGTTGTAGAATAATTTAATGGTCTGACTGACACGATGCTGTTGGATTCATGTTGGCAACTGTGAGCCGAGGTGCGATGCAAACACTTCGGCACTTTGCACCTTCAGCAGCTGCATCACTGACGGAGATGTGTCGCTCACAAGGCGGAGGCGTCGGCACGGAGGTGACGGGGAATAACGACTGCTCGGAGGAGCTGATCGGAGAAGACGGGCAAACGTTGATTTGATCAAAGGAGAAGAGGAGCGGCTGCAGAGCCAGAGACTTCAACAAAAACAGCTGGACATGGCGGGTCAACAAATACGTTACAGGTTTAAAACAGCTGTATGCAGATGTTTGTCTGACTGGTACTCTGTCAGGACAGTGGTACCAAACCAGAGCAGAACTGGTTTGACAGACAGGAAAGGATCCAAACCAGCAGCTTGTCCTGATGTTTATTTTACATTTATCCACAATTTGTAAAGAGCAGATTAATTTCACTCAACAACAATCAGGCTTTTAACAAAATGGGTTTAGAATATTATCCTCGTTCATTTGACTTGATTTAATTTAATTTTCTTGGTACTGCAACATTTATTTCTTGTTGTTAACAGGATGA